GGGGGGGGAGCCGTTCCCTCACCATTTCCTCCGGCGGGCGCGGGGGCGGGATCCGGGACCTGCGGGCGGCACCGCGGCTCAGCGCGCTCCCGGTGAGCTCCCGGTGGGATCTCCCCCCCTTCCCCGGCCCTTCCCGCGCTCCCGGGACTCACCGGAGCGGCGGCGGCTGCTGAGGGCGGCGCGGGGGCTGCCGGGAATGGCGGCGCCGCGGGGGGTGACGGGATACACCGAGGCGCGATGGCGGCGCCACGCTGTCGCGAAAGGCTCGCTTTACGGCGGCGTGGCACGGCGGGCGGGAGCAGTTGCGACGCGGCGGCGCCGCGCTTTGCGGCGGTGTGGCGGAAGCTGCTGAGGGAGGGGATTTGGGACCGGGGAACACCTGGAAAACACCTGGAAACACCTGGAAAACAGCTGGAAACACCTGGGAACGGCTGGAATCACCTAGGAACGGCAGGGAACACCTGGAAACACCTGGAAAACACTCGGAATTACCCGGAAATACGTGAAAACATCTGGAGGACATCTAAAAACACCTGGGAACACCTGGGAAGCATCGAAAAACACCTGGAAGCACCTGGAAACACCTGGGAACACCTGGAATAACCTGGAAACCCCTGGGAACACACAGAAAACATCTAAAACCACTCGGGAAAGATCTGAAAAACATAAAAAAACACCTGGAAACACCTGAGAACAGCTGGGAACATCTGGAAACCATCCAGAATCACCCGGAAACACCTGGAAACAGCCAGAAACACCTGAAAACATCTGGAGAACATCTAAAAACACCTGGAAATCATCTGGAATCACCTGGAAACACCTGAAAGCATCTGGAGAACATCTAAAAACACCTGGAAGCACCTGGGGAACACCTGGGAACATCTGGAGAACACCTGGAAACCACCCAGAAACAGCTGGAAAATTCTGGAACCACCTGGAGAAGGTCCTGGGGATGTCCATCACGCTCGGCCACCACCAGACACCACCAGACACCAGGAGGACGAAGGCTCCGGACCATGAGTGGACACCAGGAGATGAAGGCTCCAGACCAGGAGTGGACACCAGGAGATGAAGGCTCTGGACAGTGAGTGGACACCAGGAGATGAAGGCTCCAGGCCATGAGTGGACACCAGGAGATGAAGGCTCTGGACAGTGAGTGGACACCAGGAGATGAAGGCTCCAGACCAGGAGTGGACACCAGGAGATGAAGGCTCCAGACCAGGAGTGGACACCAGGAGATGAAGGCTCCAGACCAGGAGTGGACACCAGGAGATGAAGGCTCCAGACCAGGAGTGGACACCAGGAGATGAAGGCTCCAGACCAGGAGTGGACACCAGGAGATGAAGGCTCCAGGCCATGAGTGGACACCCAGAGACCAAAAGGTCTTTGCCACCAGCACTGGACACCAGGAGGACAAAAGCTCTTGACCACCACTGGACACCCAGAGAAGAGCTCTCAGTGACCACTGGACACCAGGAGGACAAAGGCCCTCAGCCACCAACACTGGACACTGGGTGGACAAAATCTTTGGCCACCACTGGACACCAGGAGTACAAAAGTTCCTGAGCAACGCTGGACACCCAGGGGAGAAAGGAGCTTGACCATCACTGGACACCCCAAAGAGAAGAGTTCTTGATGGCCACCACTGGACACCAGGAGGATGAAAGCTCTTGACCATCACTGGACACTCAGTGGGACATGAATGACCATCAATGACCATCCATGACCATCAGTGACCATCAATGACCATCACTGGACATCCATGACAATCCATGAACATCCATGACCATCAATGACCATCAGTGACCATCAACAACCATCAGTGACCATCAACGACCATCAATGACCACCAATGACCATCACTGGACATCCATAACCATCAACTACCATCCATGATCATCAATGACCATTCATGACCATCAGTGACCATCAGTGATCATCAATGACCATCAAAGACCATCAATGACCATCCATGACCATCAGCAACCATCAGTAACCATCAGTGACCATCAACTACCATCCATGATCATCAATGACCATCAGTGACCATCCATGACCATCAGTGACCATCCATGACCATCAACAACCATCAGTGACCATCCATGACCATCAATGACCATCCATGGCCATCAGTGACCATCCATGACCATCAACAACCATCAGTGACCATCCATGACCATCAATGACCGTCAGTGACCATCCATGACCATCAGTAACTTTCAATGGCCATCTGTGACTATCAACGACCATCACTGGCCATCCATGATCATCCATGACAATCAGTGACCATCAATGACCATCAGTGACTATCAGTGACCATCAGTGACCATCAGTGACCATCCATGACCATGCATAACCATCCATGACCGTCAGTGACCATCCACGACCATCAGTAACTGTCAACAGCCATCAGTGACCATCAACGACCATCACTGGCCATCCATGATCATCCATGACAATCAGTGACCATCAGTGACCATCAGTGACCATCAATGACCATCAAAGACCATCAGTGACCATCCATGACCATCAGCAACCATCAGCAACCATCAGTGACCATCAAGAACCATCCATGACCATCAATGACCATCCATGACCATCAACAACCATCAGTGACCATCCATGACCATCAATGACCATCCATGACCATCAACAACCATCAGTGACCATCCATGACCATCAATGACCATCCATGACCATCAATGACCGTCAGTGACCATCCATGACCATCAGTAACTTTCAATGGCCATCAGTGACCATCAACGACCATCACTGGCCATCCATGATCATCCATGACAATCAGTGACCATCAATGACCATCAGTGACCATCCATGACCATGCATAACCATCCATGACCGTCAGTGACCATCCACGACCATCAGTAACTGTCAACGGCCATCAGTGACCATCAACGACCATCACTGGCCATCCATGATCATCCATGACAATCAGTGACCATCAATGACCATCAGTGACCATCCATGACCATGCATAACCATCCATGACCGTCAGTGACCATCCACGACCATCAGTAACTGTCAACGGCCATCAGTGACCATCAACGACCATCACTGGCCATCCATGATCATCCATGACAATCAGTGACCATCCATGACCATCAGTGACCATCAATGACCATCAGTGACCATCAATGACCATCAGTGACCATCAATGACCATCAGTGACCATCAATGACCATCAGTGACCATCAATGACCATCAGTGACCATCAGTGACCATCCATGACCATCCATGATCATCCATGACCATCGACAACCATCCGTTACCATCAACGACCATCAGAGACCATCATTGACCATCAACAACCATCCATGACCATCAACGACAATCCATGACCATCAATGACCATCAATGACAATCCATGACCATCCATGATCATCCATGACCATCCGTGACCATCAATGACCATCCATGATCATCAACAACCATCAACGACCATCCATGACCATCAACAACCATCCGTGACCATCAACGACCATCAGAGACCATCATTGACCATCAACAACCATCCATGACCATCCATGACCATCAACGACCATCAACGACCATCAGTGACCATCCATGACCATCCATGACCATCAATGACCATCAGTGACCATCCATGACCATCAGTAACTTTCAACGGCCATCAGTGACTATCAACAACAATTCATGACCATCAGTGACCATCCATAACCATCCATGACCATCAATGACCATCAGTGACCATCAATGACCATCAGTGACCAT